TGGGTTGATAGTTTTTTTTTTTCTTTCAGCACTTGAAAAATAGTGTGCCACTTCCATCTGGCTTCCATGATTTCTGATAAAAAACAAGCTAATTTTCTAATTGTTTTTCCCCTATAGTTATCATTTTTCTCTGACTGCTTTTAAGACTTTTTCCCTTGTCTTTAGTTTTCATAAGTTTAATTATGATGTGTGTTGGCATGAATTTCTTTGCATTTATCTTGTTTGGTGTTTGCTCGGCTTCTTGACTCTGTAGTTTTATGTCTCTTGCCAAATTTGGGAAGTTTTCAGCCATTATTTCCTCGAGTACTTTTTCAACCACATCTTCCTCCTCTCCTCATGGGACTCCAATGACACAAATGTTAGATCTTTTGTTACATTTTCACAGGTCCCTGAGACTGTTCATTTTTTTTCCAGTCTATTTTCTCTATGTTGTTCAGATTGGATAATTTCTATTGTTCTATCTGCCCCCCTCCATTCTGCTGTTGAGCCCACCCACTGAGATTTTTATTTTAGTTACTGTATTTTTCAGTGTCAAATTTTTCATTTGATTTTTCTTCATATATTCTATCTCTTTGCCAATGCTTTCTATTTTTAAATTTATTTCAAGCATGTTCATAACTGCCCATGGAAGCATTTTTTATCATGACTTTTAAAATATTTGTCAAATAATTGTAACATAGCTGTCATCTTGGTGTTGGCATCTACTGAATGTCTTTTTTCATTCAGTTTGAGATTTTCCTGGTTCTTGGTATGATAACTGATTTTCGACTGAAATCTGGACTTTTTCATATTATGTTGTTAGACTCTGGATCTTATTTACAACCTTCTGTTTTACCTGGATTTTTTTGACACCACTCTGGCAGGGGTAGTGAGGGTGTTGCCTCATTATGCCAGGTGGAGGTAAAGTTCCAGGTTCCCCACGAGGTCTCCACTGACACTGTCAGGGGGTGGGGGTGGAGAGCCTTGTTACCATCCACTGAGGATGAAAATCCTGGCTCCATAATTGGCCTTCTTTGACACCACCCCAGTGGGTGTTGGACTACTTCATTATAGTCTAGGATCTCCACTCTACCTTTGCGGGCATGGGTGGAGGTGGGGCCACAGTTCTTTCTATGGTATTTGACTGAAGTAGATCATTTATTATCTAAAAGTTTTCCATCTTGCTAGATTGCCTCTTTCTTGGTCCTTTGGCTAGAGAAGGCAGACTTTTGCTGAGGCTTTTTATGTCTGCACCTAGTAATGTTTGTAGGGTGCCAAATGCTTCCGCTCCGTGTCTGCAATATATGAATCAAAAAGAAAACCCAGAAAACTCACCACTGTATTGTTCCTCAGTTCCTAAAGTTCTTAGCCAGTCTGTTTTCTTCTCTCCAGCATTCACCACTTTCTTAGATTTCTGCTATATGTAATGTCTAGGGTTTTTAGTTGTATATAGCAGGAGGAATAGGGAGAAGTACATCTACTCCATCTTTCTGAAAACAGAAGTTTAATTGGTTTCATTTTTAGTTTTACAGACCATAATAACAATACAAATTTAAAAATTGAGATATAATTTGCATAGCATATATTTCACCCTTTAAGTGTACAATTCAGTGCCTTTTAGTAGATTCACAAAGTTGTACAGCCATCAACACTATCTAACTCCAGAACAATTTCATAACCCTAAAAGAGAAACGCCATAGCTATTAGCAGTCATTCCCAATTTTCCTCTTCCATCATTCCCTGGAAACCACTAATCTACTCTCTGTCTCTATAGATTGTCTTCTAGACATTTCATATAAATTAAATCATACAATATGTGGCATTTCGTGTCTGGCTTATTTCACTTAGCATGTTTACAAGATTCATCCATGTTGTAGCATCTAATAGTACTTCATTCCTTTTTATGCTGAATAACATTCCATTGCCTGGATATACCACATTTTGTTTATCCATTCATCAGTTGATAGACATTTGGGTTGTTTCCACTTTTCGGCTATTGTGAATACTGCTGCCATAAGCATTCGTGTACAAGATTTACTCTTCTTTTTTTCAAATTTATTCCCATTTTATTCTTTTTGGTGCTATTGTAAATAGGACTGTTTTCTTCATTTTCAGATTGTTCACTGCTAGTGTATAGAAATATAACTGATTTTTTTCTGTTGTCTTATATCCAAACTTGCTGAACTCATTTATTAACCCTAATAGTGTGTGTGTGTGTGTTGTGTGTGTGTGTGTGTGTGTGTGTGTGTGTGTGTGTGTGTGTGTACATCCTCATCTTGTTCCTCATCTTATAGGGAAAGTTTTCAGCCTTACACCGTTAAGTATGAGATTAGTTGCAGGCTTTTCATAGATGTGGTTTATCAGGTTGAGGAATTTCTCTTCTATTCCTAGTTTATTGCATATTTCTAGCATGAAAGTTTGTTGGATGTTGCCAAATGCTTTTTCTGCATCTGTCGAGATGATTATGTGTGTTTCTTTCCTTTATTATATTAATAATGGTGATATTAATAATGCTGATGGATAAACACATGATGAACATAATTAATGTTAATGATCTATACATGTGAAGATTGTAGAAAGTGCAAATGTAGAAAAGACTGTTGAAAATGTTTTGTTACCTCTGTATTTACCACAAAAAGCAAGCCTTATGAGTGGGATTTTCCAGTGAGAAAATTTGGTGTTGTGTTTTTTTGAGTCAATTCTGATTCATAGTGACAGAGTAGAACTGCCCTGTAGGGTTTTCTAGGCTGTGATCTTTACAGGAGCAGATTGACATGTCTTTCTCCCACTGAGCTGCTGGGTGGGTTCGAACTGCCAACCTCTCAGATAGCAGCTGAGATGCTTAACTGTTGTGCCACCAGGGCTCCTTATAATAATGATAGTTAATCGGGAATTGGGCTTTGGAGGGGTTCTCTCCCCTTCCTTCCCACTGAGGCTGCCTGCTGCTGATTTTTACCATGATTGCAAGACTCTTGATTTTTAAGGCTATTATGGAACTAGAGTGAGGGGATGATAATAGGACAAGTTAGAACACCACAAAGCTCATCATCCTTACTTAGATTCAGCCATTTTTCCTGAATAAACACTCTGGATTGTTGCAAGCCTTTGGTTAATTTCCGTAGTTCTGAAAAGTTGGTTTTGACAAGTTTTGCCAGTTTTCTCATTGCTTTTATGGAGGAAAGGATTTTCAGAGGTCCTTACTCCACCATTCCTGCTGATGTCACTCCCAGTAAGATTTTAAAGAGGGGGTTGAAAGGAAAGAGAGTCAATTTTCTAATACAACATCATATTATGAATCCCTTGGAACTAAAAATTCTTTAGAGTTAGGATTATGATACCTTAGAATATTGCAAACTAAAAATCAGAGAACCTAAAACTACTAAATTTTGAGTATCTTATATTTTTATTCTTTGTTTTAATTTCCATTGTTTGAAATCACTCAAAGCCTATCCACTCACTGTCTCTCTTTTTTTTTTTTTTTTGTATTTATCAAGCCTGGGTGTCATAAAGTTTATTGGCAATTGTTTTTATTCAATTTATTAAAGTTTTACATCAAACTTCTAAGGCACTGACTATCAATCATTTTATTCAGCCTGTGGAATAGCTTTAAGAGCATCTTTTAAGGTTACGTTAAAGCCTTATTTGAGGAGATTGACAAATTAGTGTCTGTTTTGCTAAACAGTTTTTCAGCCCTCAAGTGTAGGGTTCATTGGATGAAGTAATAAATTAAAGAACTGCATTTTAGTAGGCTGTCTCACTTTCGAGGAGTCATAAACATGTGCTTTTATTTATTTACTTATTTTTACATTTTTAAATAAAGTATATAAATATGTGTTTTTAAATTATCTGAAAGATCCTTGCTACTCAAAGTTTAGCAAACTTGGCATCATCTGGAACTTATCAGAAATGCAGAATTGCAGGTCTCATCCCAAACTTCCTGCATCAGAATCTCTAGTTTAGCAAGATCCCCAGGTGCTTGTTATACACACTAAAGTTTCAGAAGCTCTTGCCTAGAAAATTAATCTTGAGAAATAAAATATTCTTTTATAGTGGAGTACCCAAGTAAGTTCAGAGGATAAAAGACATGAATATGACTAATAAAATATAATATTGAAAAAGTTATAACAAAGGGAATTTAAATTATAGGGAAAAGGAAGTAATTTTTAAAAGAAGTAATAAAATATTTTAAGTATGTACATTTTATTAGGCTTAGGAAATTGAAGGAGAGACATGGGGGAAATTCAGTATTAGAGCTTAAAAGGGAACCTAAGAAAATTACAAAGAAACATTAAGATCACACATATAAAAATATCTCTCTACATATATATTTAAATAGCAAGGGCAAGAGTAAACTCTAAGTTGATTACATAAGAAGCTTAGAAACATGGATGAGATATCCATACGAGGAACCTAGTCCATATTGCAAGTGTGAAATGTTGGGAATGGTGAGTACCCATCACCCTAAAAGAAGAGAATGAGGGTCATTTGTGGGAAAAGCAAAGATAATGTAAATTTTACAAGAGTAGTACTTTTTGTGTCTTTGGTCCACTGATATATCTAGTTCCTGGAAGGCCAGCTAGCACATCCACCCATTACCCTTGCCGTTGAGTCAATTGCAACTCATAACAACCCTATAGGACAGACTAGAACTGCCCCATAGAGTTTCCAAGGAGTGACTGGTGGATTTGAATTGCTGACCTTTTGGTTAGCAGCCAAGCTCTTAACCACTTCGCCACCGGGGCTCCACCTGACACATAGTAGGCGCTTTATAAATACTGACTAAATGAATAGTAAATGATACAGAGGAATAGTGTTAGTAGTTAACAGTTACTGTGTTGATGGATTTAATTTTATTTTGAGTCTTCCATAATCCATAAATTCTTAGAGATATTATTATATAATTTGTTTCATTAAATGTTTCTTTCTCACTTTAAAAGCCTCAATGTGTGACTCACTTTTTATGAAAAACAATGTAAATAGTTTAGTTGATGTAGTTAACTTGCGGCCGATTTTCATGACAGAATAAACGCTTAAAGGATGAACAGATTTGGCACATAAAGAACCTACTAAAGGAACTGAGTGAAGATAAGTCAAAGGGAGTACCAGTTGTAACAAGAGAGGATGTTGAAGAAGCAATGAAGGAAAAATGGAAGTTTGAAAGAGACCAGGAACAAAATTTGAAAGGTGATTTAGGAAAACTCTGTAAAGCTGTATCAAGTTATTTGTTGAATGTATTGATGCTTTTTTTCTCCCAAAATGTTCAAAATGCTATGAACATAGTTCACATGCCATCATTACCACTACAACCACAAACATATGTAGGCAAATGCACAGGAGAGGGAAATAATGAAGCGGGCAGAGATACTGAAGCCAATGGAGGAGGAAGAATAAGGGTATAAGGGCAGTGATCAAAAACGAAAACCATCCAACTCTTAACACCAGACAGTATTCTATAAACACCTCTCTGAGCTTCTCCTCAAAGCGGTGATTCGTTCTTCTTTTTGGAAAAGTAATCTTGTTTGGTGGCTTCAGCCTCTGTTTCGACTTGGGAGTGACACTTTTTCTCCAAATAATCCTTAAGGGAGCTAAGGCCCCCATTTAGATGGTGGAAAAGAGAGATTAGAGTTGAGAAAGGGAAAGCTTGGAGGACATGGATAGAAATGATGCTAAGTGCGGGATATGAAAGACTGAGGACATACTCTCGCCATGGTTTGGAAATACCATAGTCGTACACAGTTCTGACACTTTGCATTTTTTATTCCTGAGTCAGAATCAACTTGATTGCAATGGATTTTCTTTCATCCTAAGCTTGCTGCCAATATTTCTCAAACCACTTTTGCCAGACCTCTATTAAAACCATCTTCTGTTAGGAAGCTGGAAAACATAGGAGAGAAGCTAGAGCATTATCAGGAAGCAGTACCTGAAGCTGGAAAGCAAAACAAAGATAGGGACTAGATTTTCCTGAATTTCTCTAAGTATTTCAAAGTGACCATAAACCTGAAAACTTTGCACAAAGCAGGCACTTCACTGAATTGATATGTATTGTTTTGAATGAAATAGTTTCCAAGACCAAACACCAACAGGCAAAGTTTCCAAAACTGTTCCCATAAACCTCCTTCAACCCAAGTCTCTTTATTGACAATAGTGATGTCATGAGGTGGTAGAAATTGTATTTTGCAGTACTCCCCTCTGGAACAGTTCTGCTTGTGTTTGGAAGGAATATTTTAATAAATTCCTTAAGGTGGGAGTGAGACCCCAAAGGATGCTCAGGCGTGCTCCCTAAATTGTCTTCTAAAGGGAATGGCTCAATTAGTTGAGGTGAGCCTGCTTATGGTTTGGCCTGAGCACTGGGGCACACGTATTATACAAGTCTGGGCCCAAACTGGATGGCTCAGCACAGTACAGGAGGGCTGGGCATGTGTGGTGGTCCAAGGGAGAAAGAGGCCCACAGATGCTGAGGAGGAGAGGGAAAGTGAGAGAACATACGTGTCTGAAAAGGGTTTCTGAGGCAGCTTGTTGTTAATTGTCCCAGGTAGTCCCTTGCAACTTATTTTGGTTTATGGAGCAGCAGTGGTGGTTCCACCTGGTAGTTTATCCCCATGTAGACTCTGAGGCCCCACCCAGACCTGCTGAATCAGAAACTGCATTTTGACAAGATCCCAGGGGACTCCTATGCCCATAAAGGTTTTCGAAGTGCTGATGAATCCCTTTCTTCCAACTTTTAGTCAGGACTCTGTCAGTTGCAGAGGTAAAAATCCAGCTCAAATTAGCCTAAGCATGAAAGGGATGCTAATTTTTTCATAAACCAAACCACAGAAAGTGCAGGATGCAGCTGACCTGGACCCAAGGCTTCAAATGCTGTCAGATCTCAGCATCTTTTTTTTTTTTTTTTTTCCAATCTATTTATCTCTGTCTTTCTCTTCCTCCTGCAAGTTGGCTCCTTTTTCTCAGGCTGTTGTCTCCATGAGGCTGGAACTCTGATTGTAGATAGCTCTGATCTTTCATCTTTATATCCTCAAAATTGATACAAAAGAGGCATGTTTTCCACCAGTTTCATTGAGAATATTTCTGTGAAAGGATATCTTAGGCCACATGCTCACCCCTGGACTAATCCCTGTAGCCAGGAGAGGGGCCACTACAATTGGCCTACTTATTTGACAAGGGGTAGGAGAAGTTTGTTACTAGGAGGGATTCTGGGCACATAGAACATCCATGTCGCTTAGGAAATCTTCAGTGACATCTGCCCTTCCCTGCAAAGGCTGAACGTGGCATAAGACTGAGGCAGCAGCTATTTGCTCAAAGGAGAGAATGGCCACCTCTCTGGGTTACAGGCAAACTAACAGTTGTTTAAATTACAAGTGCCATTTATTAAGGGATTGTAAAAAATACATTCTATCATTTACATTTTTGGAAAAAGATGTGTCCAGAGTCCTTCTGGATCTCTGAACTGAAGACCAGCCCTCTGGCCTGGTTGAAATGCTTCAATCATTCAACAGACATTTACTGAAGACCAACTAATTGCCAAGCTCTGTGCTAAGTGCTGGATTTACAGAGATGAATAAGATGTGGTCCTGACCTCAGGAAGCTCTCAAACGAGGTAGATGGTGGTGAGCCAAACAACCATTAAGTTAATTGTACTCAGCTATTTGTAATGCTTCCTTTTCCAAAATATTCAGCAACGTGATACTCGGGCCTAAAGACTGAATAGACTAGTGTGTTTATCAAGTGCAGCAGGGAAAATTGAAATTTTATATGGTTGAGACAACTCAGTATTTGTACATATTAACTGAGGAACTTATTTCTCATTCTGAGGTCTTAATAACAGGGGTACAGGGGGTAAGGAGGGGGAAGACATGTTATTATGACTATCATTTTACACAAGGGCAAGCCAAACAAATGAACTTTAGATGACTTACCAAACAGCTTACTTATAAAAATGGTTGCTAAGGATCTGGGAAGGACAAAAGTTGAAATCAATTTTTACCCACAGGCATAATGGCCAGGAAAATAACAATTTACTAATAAAGAATGTATGTGATATAATACATTGTACAAAATAGGACCATTATCAAGCTATCACAGAATAATTTAAACTTATGCGTTGCTAGGCATGTAAGTTAATTATCTATCTCTCTTGATAACAATCCAAAACTCCACATCTATTTTGTAATCAAGCAAGTTTAATTTTTATTTGTATTTTGAGTTATGAGGGCTGGATAAACAATAGTTTGAATAGGTTAGATTTCACTAAATTGAAGATGTAAAATAGTATTCATGAGTTAATAACATTTTTATATCAGACTTTGACTTAATAAAATCAGATTGCTTCCCAGAATTGTTGCAAGAACAATAGAAATGACATGTTTTGATTTTCTTTCAACAGATATGCGCATGCAAATAAGTAATGCTGAGAAACTATTTCTTGAGAAACTCAGTGAGAAGGAATATTGGGAAGAGTACAAGAATGTAGGGAGTGAACAACATGCTAAACTCATCATGTCCTTAGAAAATGACATCAATACAGTGAAGGAGAACGCAAGGAAAATGTCAGGTCAGTTGCAACAAAGCTAGTTTAAGTTCAATAAACAGTGTTTAGAGGGCAGCCTTTTTAGTGAAAGAAAAAAATATGGGTACTCCCTGAATCATTTGTTACTCTCTGCTACCAGCACAAGCAACTGTGAGCCTAAAAGTAAAGGTGGAGGGAAAGTAGAGAAACGATCCCAGGACCACCTGTGAGAAGGGGAGTAAAGGGAGTGGGGAACCCTGTGACCCACTGACTTCAAGAAAGAAGCTTCATTTCAGTGGCGATATCCGTACACTCCCATACCTGAATCTGGCGCAATTCCACCCAGGTAGGAGGATCCTGGGGCCGGGATGGGGAGTGGGCAGTGGTCGTTCAGTGGTAGAATTCTAGCCTTCCACGTGGGAGACCCAGGTTTGATTCCTGGCCAGTACACCTCAAGCTCATCCATCACTTGTCTTGTCTGTCACCGGAGCCTTGTGTGTTGCTATGATGCTAAACAGGTTTCAGCGGAGCTTCCAGACCAAGATATACTAGGAAGAAAGGCCTGGCAGTCTACTTCTGAAAATGAGCCAGTGAAAACCCTATGGATCACTACGGTCCAATTTTGTTGTGCATGGGATCTCCATGAGTCAGGTGCCAACTCAGTGGCAGCTAACTGCAACAGGAGGATCCTGGGACTGGATTAAATTAGAAAGGGAATTCACCTGAGGCAAGCCAAGGCAATTTAGGCAGGCTGAAAAACCAGAATCATTATGGAGAAATGCCCAAGTTAAATCTAAATTGTAGTCTGAAAAAACTGGAGAACAAGTGTGAGATAGAAGGTGGAGAGGGTACTGAGCAGGATGGCAACAGGTGTGATGAAGCCAGAACTGGGTACAATGGGTGCATGTGCTGGCCCTGTCCTTTAACACAAGGTCACCTGCCACTGAAGTGAGCCTAGTGGCTTAAAAGAACACCAGAGATTCAGAGACAGGGAAGTCATAGAATAGAATAAATGGGGGAAAGTCTGGCCACAGAGAATGCTGGGGGTGGATGATAGTCCAGGACCTAGCTGCCTGGGCCCTGTTGGAATGCTCTGCTTCTGAACCAATTTTTATGTAAGTTTCTCAGCTCAGAGGCTCTGCACCTCAAAGATAGTGTGAATTTGGCCCCACATTAGTCTGGATTTGGAGTTCTGATTTCTCAAAAGATTCTCCTCCCAAAATAAAAGAAGAGAGTGAATGTAATACCCTCCCACCACTGTCTATCCTCCGGCCACTCAGATCCTCTCCAAATCAGAAACTACTATTACCAGTTTCTTGTGTAGCATGTCAGAAATATTCTATGCCTATATCAATGCATACATAAATAGAAATATGGATCACAAATAGCGTGCTACAGATTGGTTTTTCACTTGCCTTTTCATGTAACAATATGGACATCTTTATAGATCAGTATATATTAGTACTGCCTCATTCTTTCAGATGGCTACATGGCTTGGTTGTATTATAATTTTTTTAAACTGTCCCCCTACTGATAAGCATTTAGGTTTCCAGTCTTTTACTATTACAAATAATGCTGCAATAAATATCCTTATAAATATCTCATTTTATTTTGAAGAATATCCTTATACTTACATCATTTCACTTATATTTATCTCTAAAGAGGAGTGGCTGGGCCAAACTGATTATTTTTATTTCAGTAGGCATAGGGATTGTACCAAGTTGCATTCCCACTGGCATGCATGAAAGGCCTGTTTTCCCACATCTTCAAAAACAGGGAGTATTATCCAACTTTTTGTTCTTTGCCAGCCTTATAGGTAGAAAGTGGCATCTCATTGTGGTTTTAGTCTCCATTTCTCTTACTATAAGTGACACTGAATATCTTTTAATAAGTTAAGAGACATATGAATTTCCTTTTCTGTGGACCATCTATTCACATCCTTTGCCCATTTTTTTATTACGTTCTAGAGCTCTTTACATTTTAAGGAAATTAAATTCTTATCTGTGAAATAAGTTGCAATTATTTTTCCCATTTGTCATTTGTTTTGTGTTTATGGGTCTTTTTATGAGGAAATTTTGTATTTTTATAGTGCTGAATTTATCAGTGTTTAGATTTTATGATTTCTGAGATATAAATTCTCCAGTATTTTCTTCTAGAAGTTTTATAGCTTTATTTTTACATTTAAATCTTTGATTTGTTTTTGTGTGAGGTAGGAATCCAACTTTACTTTTTACCAGATGGTTTTCCAGTTGTCCCAACATAATTTATCAAATAATCCACTTTTACCCCACTTATTTGAAATACTAACTTTATCATACTTTAATTTCCTATGTGTGTTTGAGTCTTTCTCTACTTTCTCCTCTGCTCTGTTGATCTGTCTGTGTATTTATACATCTGTAACATAATTTCAAAACAATTATTCTTCTGCTATGTTTAAAATATTTTATCTAGAATTTCTTCATTTTACATTTTTAAAGTAGGAAGAATTATATGATCACATATAAACTTGACTCATTATCTTGATCAGAAATTTGGATAATTTCTTTTAGCTGAAAATTTTCATGCTGTTGTATCCAACTTTTGGGTGGTGGTAATAAAATTTATGTATTGAATTACTTGCTGGTCCAGCCTTGAGGTATAACAATTTTAGATGCCATGGTAAAATGGTTATTATTGCTTGTCTTTTATGCCAATTTAGGTACCTCTCCTTACCACCCAAGAAATAGCAGTAACTCTACTGGGGAACTATTAAACACTTTGTCAGTTACCAATTGGACACAATAAATATGAACAGGCTTTCTAAATCAATCTATTCAAAGCCTTACTACCATTCTCTCTTCTTTTTCTCCTACCTCCTTTTTCACAGACCCCTTGTTCCATGACTTTTCTGGAATTCTCCTCCCACACCTGTGATCACGGAGTCTGTGTGTGTTAGGCTGATTTAGTTGCAAGAAACAGAGATTGACTTAGCCTGTCTTAGGAAAAGGGTGGTTATTTTAGTGAACGAGGATAATAAAATGAAAGCTTTTTAGTCTAATATAATGGATACCACGTTTTTAAGTGAGGTTAGATGCCACCATGCAGACTTGCAATATGATAAGGCAGAAAACCAGTATCACACCTTCAACCACTGAATTCCAGCCTATAAAAGAAGATAGAACTCAGAGGGAAACTTATAGCAATAAATGCCTACATGAACAAAGAAGAGCTCAGATCAACACCTAACTCTACAGCTTGAGGAACTAGAAAGAGAAGAACAAACTAAGCCTAAACCTACCAGAAGAAAAGAAATAACAAAGATCAGAGCAGAAATAAATAAAATCAAAAACAAAAACAATAGAGAATCAACAAAACCAGAAGTTGGTTCTTTGAAAAGATCAGTAAAATTGACAAACCTTTAGCTAGACTGACAAAGAAAAAAAGAAAAAAGAGCAAATAATCAAAACAAGAAGTGAAAGAGGAAACATTACAACTGACTTGATAGAAGTAAAGAGAATTATGAACAATTGTATGGCAACAAGCTGGATAACCTAGATGAAATGGACTTAGAAGCACACAACATACCCAAACTGACTCAAGAGGAAATAGAAAGTCTCAACAGACCCATAACAAGTGGAGAGATTGAATCAGTGATCAAAACCTCCCAACATTCCACCATCGTTTGAGCAGCCCTTCTAGGTGAGTTTCTTCAAAATCAATCAATCAGTCCATCAACAAATATTGAATGCTTACTGCATGACAGTTATTTGCCAGACCTTGGGTGCATGAGACAAACCTGGTTCCTGCCCTCATGAAGATTCCAGTTTATGGGGAAATCTCTCCCCATCCCACTCACCTGTTCCCTCCACCTGCCCTTCTTACTCTTGGCCCCCTTCCTTCCTCTCCCTGGACCTCAGACCTCTTTCCATGGCAATGATAAATGGCTGCCTGGGTTGCCAACCACACCCCTTTGGGCTTGATTTCCATTTCAGAGTTTGTCCTGGTCTCTGCTTTTCCTGGGGGGGTTTCTGTGCATTAGTCAATCAGCTCAGGGAGCATGGGATGGTAGAGATGATGGAGTCACCAGGATGGCAAGGAGGAAGCACGGGCTGTAGAGCAGGGAGGAAGCCCAGGATCATGCAGCCTCTGGGCTGTTCTGGAATGACCAAGGCTCAGCCTGTTCAAGACAGAAAGGAAAACGCAGACCAGCAACAGGTCTAGCAGAGGCTAGTGCTGGGTGTGGGGTTCCAGCAGTGACTTGCCTGATCCCCACTCACCCAGAGGAGAGAAATACTGGCTGCCCCAGGGCTGGAGTCCTACACAGACTCTTCCTTCCCCTTCAAGTCTGTCACAAGCCAGTACACTTTCTCCTTGGCACCTTGGTTCAGGCCCTGTGTCTGCTTCTGGGACCTGGTCACCCCCCACACTCCCCCACTGTGATTCACCTGCACCCACCACTATGTTAACCTTCACACAACCCTCCACTGATGGTGCCCTATTCTTGCTCAACAACCCTGCACAACACTGTGCTCTAGTCTCCAGTGTTGGCCTCAAACTTACCTGTGGGATGGTTAGTCTTATGTGTCAGCTTGGCTTGGCTATAGTTCTCAGTTATTCAATCAAACACTAATCTAGGTGTTACTGTGAGGGTATTTTGTAGATATGGTTAACATCTAAAATCAGTTGATTTTAAGTAAAGGAGATTACCCTCAATAATCTGGGTGGGCCTCATCCAATCATTTGAAGGTTTTAAGAGCAAAAACAGGTTTCCCTGGGGAAGAAGAAATTCTGCTTCATGACTGCAGCATCAGGGTTTTAAAAAGCTTGGGAGTGGCCATCTAAGATACATCTATTGGTCCCATCTCATCCAGAGCAAAGGAAAATGAAGAAAACCAAAGATACAAGGAAAATATTAGCCCAAAAGACTAAAGGACCACATGAACCAGAGCCTCCACCATCCCAAGCCAAGAAAAACTAGATGGTGCTCAGCTACCACCACTGACCACTCTGACAGGGATCACAACAGAGAGTACTGGATAGAGCAGGAGAAAAATTTAGAACAAAAT